CTCCCTCATATTTGCGGACAGGTGCGCTCCTGTTTACCCAAATCTCACGTATAAACATTTTTCAGCGATATCCCGGAGAAATCTCGCACCTGCTTATTATCCACAGCGCTCCGTATGTTGCCCTCTTCTATTTTTAAACCCCGCTTTTCATATTTATAATGTTAACAACGCCGGTGGCACGTGACTATAATGTCACAAATTAAACATTATGACAAGGCACATGGTTCAATATTCCGGAATGAAAGTTCAAATAAACGGATGAAGGAAGCTTCGGATGCATACCGGATGTGGAGTTTACTTTGGATTTTTTAACACGATTGTGCATGTGGCTGAAGAAGAGGAATGTGATAAGGACATTTAACACGTTCAGAGGCTTTCAGGATCGGTTCGCGGAAACTAGAACTCGGCCAAACGATCGATAAGTTGGCTGGGTGGGAGTTTTCGCGAATATACAGGGTGCCGTGAAAAGAAGCAAAATTTGTAAAAAGTGAGTTTGCTTATTTTCTGAAATACTTCCGCAGAATTGTTTATTTTTACAAAAGGATCGTGTTAGAGAGAAACGGTTCGTTTCATTTTCTTACTATAACGTTTTTCAGTCGCTAAAACAAGTTATTGGGCACTAAATTTCTCAGAAAGAGGAAGCTTGAGGAGAAGCCGAGAGAGTGACAATCTGACTACAATTTTTTAAGTAAATTTTTATTCTCGTTACTGGTCTGTTACCTATTTTCTCTCTTTATTTATCTTAAAAAACCCTGTTTATATGTCATTGTTTACCAAGGGCCTGATTAAAGATTACGACTCACTAGAGTCATTATAAGTAGATTTTTTTTACGGAAAAAATTTGAAAAAAGTTTTTAAATATTTTTTTCTGTCTTCTATTTATTTATTTCGAAGTCGAGTATTTGGTTTAACTAACACCTCCTTAGCTTTTATTAATTTCTCAGAACTTGTTTGAAGCTTGAGGCGAAACCAAGAGAGAGTGACAACTTTTTAAGTAAATTTTTGTTTACTGTCTGTTATTTTTTTTTATTTATCTTAAAAACACTGTTTATATGTCATTGTTTAGCACGGCCTGATTAAAGATTGCGACTTACTAGTCATTGTAAGTAGATTTTTTTGCGGAAAATATTTGTAAAAAGTTTTTAATCAATATTTTTTATGTCTTCCGTGATATTTATTTATTCCGAAGTCGAATATCTGGTTTAACACCTCTTTAGCTTTTATAAAATAATTTTTTTTTAATTTGGAGGCAATTATTCAAACATATAATAGTTGTTTATTCGAATTAGACAACAAGGCTTAAACTTACTTTAAATCTGTTAAAAAGAATTTGACGTTTCGAATTGAGAAATGCCAAACAGTTGTCAAAACTTCCTTACACGGGAGAAAAATCGTAAATTTTGACAGTGTCGAAGAATAATAATAATTTAACTGTGTTTAAACATGATGCAACAGGGTTGAAAATTAACTAGAGAATAACTTGAGGGAATTAAAACGACTGTTACGCATAACAGTCCTTCAAGTTCCTTCAAGTTTTCCTCCATTTAATTTTCAACCCTGTTATTTGGATCTGAGGACGTTCTTTCCCCACTATTTGAAACATGATGTTTTAGTTTGATTTTCTGGATGTGCCACCATGATGGAATTCTACAGGATATTCCAATATTTTTTTATCAATACAATAATGCGAAATTGAAATACATACAGGGCGATTCAGATAAGATAATGAGCCTGACGATCTGGCGATGCAACCCAAAAAACAAATTTCATTTACGTCTTTGATCCAATTTCAATTAAGATTTGCAAGTTGAATCCAAGTTATCATCTTGTGTCACTCTGACATCAGTGCAGAGAACGATTTATTAGTGCTATTTAGTTCTCGCGGAATGATAGAGAAATTAGAGAAGTCTTTTCGGTGTAAACTCAATACAAAATGTATGAAACAATGAAACATTAAAGGTAGGCAAACAGTTTTTTTGTGAATCATAAATTGCTTGTCAAAGCACTATCAGAGCAACATAAGATAACTTGGATTGCAAATGCAAATCGTAATTAAAATTTGATCAAAACGTAAATGAAATTTGTTTTTTGGGTTACATCGCCAGATCGTCAGCCTCATTATCTTATCTGATTCGCCCTGTATTAAGATTGGGATGTTGTAGTCTAGTTAAGAAATTTTCAAATATTTTTTATTTAATATACAGGGTTATTGACGGGAGGGTTATTTCTGAATTTTTTTTGCCGCAACCAACAATACCAATCTCACAAACTACTAAATTAAATATGTTATTTCTTTAAAATTACAAATCAAAGTAAGTTGGATAAATTTGCCAGAAATGTCAGGTTGACAGATAACCTATATTTAATCAAAATTCAACATATAAATTAACAATATATGTAATGTAATATAAAAGGTGTTTGAAGTGTCTACCATCGACTTCTAAACATGCGCCTAGTCGGTTGGTAAACAAAACAAAACATGTCGCATCGTTTGAGAGATAATTTTTTTACTATAATGTCACAGAGACAAGACTAATAACAGCTATCGTGGATTTAGTTATAATTATTTTCAAAATTTGAAATCAAGAAGTTGTTGCAATATGTATAATGGGTTGCGGCAAAAACAAATTCAGAAATAACCCTCTCGTGACTAACCTTGTATGTACATAATTTTTTAGTTAAGAAATATTTCTAGTCGTTGTAACTAGTAGCTAAAATAAAAAGCCCGTTTAATAAAATTACAATTTTTTTTATCTAACACACTTTTAAATTGTCTTTTTATGTCAAATCATAATAAATATAATAAAAAAAATATTGGAATAGTATATTAAAGAACGCGTTTCGTAAGAGAAATGAGAAATAAAGTTTTTTAGGCAATTTTTTATATTTTGTGCGTTTTACATCTTTTTTTAATATAAAAGTCAATTTTTCAAAATTTAGGAATTTTTGCACAGCACATGAAATAAGAGAAATCGCTCAAAACGCCGCTGAAAATCACCATTACCAACCTATAGAAAGTAAATTGTACTAGAATAGTCTATTTCAGCATCCGAATTGGTGTTGAAATGGCTCATTAAAGCATCGGAAATCATAAGTAATATGCAAGGTAATATACAAGGCTTGCACCTGTAAATGCAATTAAAATGCATAGTTTTTTGTAGTTTGTACACCCTTTAAATAATTAATAATATTTAATAGCAACATTCTTTTTTAGTGATTAGAATAATATTCAGTCTTCCGTTGTTTGAATACATGATAATTGTTTTTGAAAATAAATAATTTAGTTAATGAAATATTGCAACCACTACCAAGGATTTTCAAAAATAATTTTGAAGACGTTTCACCCGCTTTTGTAAAGGGCATCTTCGCATCTTCAGGACAAGAAAAGGAAGAAAATAGTTAATTGTATTTTTTTGACCATTGACGAAAATTACGTGAAACATCTTAAAAAAATAAAAGTAAAATGCTTGTATTTAAACTTTGTGAGGATGTCAAGTAAATCCAGCAGAATATGACATTTTTTGGTGATAAATGTACTTCCGTTTCATTTACTCTTTGTAGTGTTAATTTTGTATTATATTTTTGTTGTTCTTTGCAGTGTATTTGTATTTTTTTTACTTTTAATAATAAAGTTTTTAATTTTGATTACCGCACTAATTTGAGTTGCTATTTATCACAATTTTCTTTTGAATATTATTGTCTTTTTAATTTATACCTAGCAATGGCTACAATTTCATTGTCTGTAAACCAGCCTCTGTAAACACGAGTTACGAAAATGTTTAAAACTTTTTTGTTCTGTATGTCATGATGACATCCTGAGAAATTTTGTCTATTCTTTCAAAGCAGCCTGTACCTATAATATGTTAATACCATTTTATCAAGTAGAGTCTGCCAAAAGTCCAAAAGATATATCGTGTTTAAAACTTAATCCGGTATTTAACTTTCACTAATTTTTATGAAGGTCTCACCGCAAACCCCAATAAATGGAAAAATATAAATAAAAGTAATAAAAAAAAGTTTATAACACAACAGGTTATAAACACGATATATCTTTCGGCAGACTTTACAAGTTTGTTTTTTAATTATTTATTATATGCTGTTTCTCTATCCTTTTACATTCACTTTTATTTGTTTTCCAAGTTTTAACATCAATTACAAGCTACCTAAACAAGCCCTTATTGGTACACATGATAAGATAATAATTTTTATTATACGATTTCTATTGAAACATGTGTATTTATATACGCTCCGAGTCGAACAAGCAGTAACGTACATTTTTAATAGTCTCACCATAAACAACGGAATATTTCCACTCCAACTCCACTAAATATTTAGTAATTTTTTTCCTCCTTCCAAAACTGACCGTTTGAGTCAAGCTATAAAAAAATGCCGCTTTTGGATCAGAATTTATTGCATTACGGGCGCCTCAACTGCCAAAATCGCCATGTAAATATCTGATATTAGCGTAAACAACGATTTTAATGACTTTTATTTTCTGATAAAAATGGGTAAAATCCCGGATCACGTGACCTTGTCTCGGTCCCCAAATGCAACCGTTGCGTACCTACCTCGAAAGTGGCCTCACTAAAAATAGCACACCCCCGATTCAAGACACGCGTTTTTTACCCGAAAATGGCATCTATTTATGTCGGGGGGAAAACCGCATGAATTTTTATGACGCACGACTATTGTATGGCTCAGTCATTAACATAGAGTTTTCAAAGTGCAGCATTTATCGGCAATACGGCTTTGACTTATCGTTATCTCGTAGGTCGGTACTTCCTTATGACAAAACGTTCTAGTCGCATTCAAACCGTGATGAGTATTGTGTGTGTCAGACTGTAAAAGGGTTGTAAGGGTTGCTAGGAGTGGCTCAACAATGCAACAAGAGCTAGACTCCGATTATGAGTCGGAATATTATCATTGTTATAAACCCAGTGAGTCAGAGTGAATTTTTCCTCAAGGTTTATGAGCGAAAAATTAAATAAAAATTGTTACAGCACCTATCAAAAAGCCGGCAAACATGGACGACATCCTCATAGTGTCTTTCAAAGGAAGCGAGGCTGCGAATCTCTGGGCCGAGTATTTCACCAACTATTTTCAACAGTTGAGCAAAGCGAACAAAAAGCCCTTCAAGTGAGTCAATTTTTCGAAACGAAATCTCCTCTAATTGAGTTTTACAGAATTCAGCATATGCTAGTAGAAGACTGCCTTTCCGACCCCAAGGAAGACCCAAAAATCGTCGCCGAACGAGCAACAAATGTTAAGCTACAACTAGTTATACTTTGTCCAAATTTTCTGGAATTTGTGGCCGAATATCCGGACAAGTGCTCCGAATTAGGGAAATTGCTCCTCGCTGATCGGACTCTAGCCCTACTTTTGGGGGTCTCCGATAGTGACTTGACCGAAATCCACAAGAAAAGTAGGTTTTTTATTCGTAAACAAGGTTAATTATTTTTTTCTATTTTGCCTCGTTAACAAGACTGTTAACCAACTTGTTGAATGCCAATTCTTGCTTGAATGCCTTTTGTAACTGTATGTTAATATACTTTTATACAGGTTGTGTCAGAACTAGCGCCCCGGAGAAAAATTTCAAGTAAGATAAGATACCAGGAACATGAAAAAAATTATTAAAAAATTCTATCTGTCAAAAAATTTTGACATTTATTGTTTGACATTTGACATTTTTTATGTGCATCTAATGATACTGGTGATCTTGAGATTTTGTATATGTTTTTTCATAATTATTTAGTAAAAGTACAAAAATTTTGTCAATAAAATCCAAAATGTAACATTAAATAGAGTTACAATATAGGATAGAGCTTCCTTATTTCCTCTTCTAATAGTCTGTAGCAAAAAAATTTGGAAAATTATTTTCCAACAGAAATAAATAGAATCACAGTGCAAAATTTAAACTCTAATAACTTAAAATTTTTATAGATAGAATTTTCTCTGGGGCGCGAGTTCTGCCGCACTCTGTATGTTTTTTCGTAATTATTTAGTAAAGGTACAAAAACTTTGCTAATAGAAGCCACAAATAACATAGTTACAATTTAGGATACAGCTTTTTTGTGTCTTTTTCTAATAGTCTGCAGCAAAAAACATGAAAAATTATTTTCCAACAGAAATAAATAGAGCCAAAAGTGCAAAACTTAAACTCGCATAATTTTTAATTTTTTTTAAATACAATTTTTTTCACATTTTTTCATGTTCCTGGTATCTTACCTTACATTTTTCTCTAGGGCACGAGTTCTGTATATTTCTGTATATTTTTTGGGATTTATAGTGTTTTTATTCTACTTATTTTCTGTCAAAATTATTTGACATTTTTTATGTCTATTTATTTAATGATACTGATGATCTTGTATATGTTTTTTTTATAATTATTTAGTGAAGGTAATGAAATTTTACCAATAAAAGCCACAAATAACATTAGACAGAGTTACAATTTAGGATACAGCTTCCTTGTTCCTCTTCTAATAGCCTGTAGCAAAACTTAGAAAATTATTTTTCCAACAGAAATAAATAGAGTCAAAGTGTAAAATTTAGACTCTCATAACGTCGAAGTTTTTATAGCCAGAATTTTTTCCCATGTTCTTGGTATCTTACCTTAAATGACATTTTACTCTGGGGCGCGAGTTCTGGCGCACACTGTATATCCTTGTCTAACAGCGGCCTTAAGGTAAAACTTTTTTTTAAGTTTCATGATGGTAATATGTTTCTGAAAATGTAGGTTTTTGGGTAGGTTTCTTTATGTTAACTTTAATTAAATAAACATAAAGTATAAAATTTTGTTGTTTAAACTAATTATTGCAAGATATAGTTTATCTTTATTATAAACATGATTTGACTGATAAAGATTGACAATTGATAAATTTTTTCTCCGAAATTTAACAATGTAATTTTTTCGTTTGATATAAAAACTGATTGCACTTTGATAGGTATATTTTACAGTACAAGGCATAATAATTTTTTTATATCTTGAGAATTATAATTTGCTTCCTATTTTAATCCTTTGAAAGGCGAGTTCAATTAAACAACTGAATTATAAAATGTAAGAAAATATGTTCAGTCAAGTTTTCTCACTAAAATTTTGAAGTAGAAACAAGAATTCAAGTAATTCAATTTATTTCATCATACTCGTACAGTGGAACTTAAGTCTTTACATTTTTAACATTTACAAATCTTCAATCCAAGTATATTGTCAGGTCCACTTTGATAGACAACAATTAATTTTAATTAATGATTAAATATTTTTCTTGAACTATCATTAAGGAGGAGGAATCAAAAAGAGCTTTCGAAACTTTTTCTGAATTGAGGATTTTTTTGCAGCTTTCCCGACTTATTTCCAATGGCAAAGACTGGGCGTGGGTCAAGACCAAGACGAAAACTTCACCAAGGAGTTTCTGGGTCATGCGATGTCAATCCTGTCTCGAATTTGGAAACTGCAGACTTCGGTGACTCAAGAAAAGTCGTATTTTTCCGTCTCTCCGAAGAAGATCCGCCAAGGCCAGAACAGCGTTTTCATCCTCCTGACCTACCCCTTGCAAAAAGAGGACATTTTGAAGGTTTCCATCGAACGCAATAACGAAATCTTCGAAGTGAAGACCGTAAAAAGACGCAATCCCTACACCATCAAAATCTCCGTTCCAAATAACCTGACCGAAGTCACAGCTATCGTCAACATTCTCGTTGAAAAAAATGGCAGCATCGTGGGCAGTCGTCCAATCAAGTGCGAGAGCAGACTCAGAGAGCTTGAACAAATTTTACGCCTCACTAATAATCCGATCGAGTTTATGTGTCAGGTAAAGCTTTGAAGTGCTTTTAAAGCTTCAAACAAAAGCAAATCGGGCAGAAGTTACAACTTCCCACATTTCTAATGTTACAGACTTTGGGTTTCAACCCGTCCAGTCGCGAGCAACTGGATAATTGGCTTCTCCAGGCCTTCCAGAGGAATCTTCCAGCGCATTTCAATCTCTTAGCCAATCACGACACGCCATTTGCCGCTTCCCTACCCGCCCATAAGCACAGTCACGAGGAACACCCCACTCTGCTCCACTTCGCGGCAAAATTCGGATTTGAAAAACTCGCTTTGCAACTATTAGACTGTCCAGGAGCTGACATTGCTTTCGACATCAAAAATATCCACGATATGACTCCGGCAGAAATCGCAGAAACTAACGGCCATCCTGAACTGGCAGCCACACTTCGTGGTTACATGAACATGAACGAATTCACACACATGTACTCAAAATTGAAAGAAATGAGTTTAAATTCGGCCAAAATCGGTACAACTTTACTCAAACACTCTTTCGTAACAAATTAACAAGTTTTTTGCAGACGAGGATAGTTATATTACTCCAAAAGAGATAGAAGAACTGTACAAAATATGCCCCGCCCCTAGACCCGTCTTTTTCAACGATCAGTTAAACTCGCCGACCAGTGAGTGTGGCTATATGTCAATGACTCCGCCCGGTAAGCACAAACCACGCCCCTAACCCCAATTCATCTCTTATTTCCAGTCAAAATCGTCATCGAGCACTCCGAAATACCCGCCCCTAAACCGGCCAAAAGCCCCGCCCCTTCAATCAAGACTGACACCCCTTCATTCTCACCCAATGAAATCACTGAAGATAAAGTCCAAAAGGAGCTGTTGGAAATCATCAATGATTTCAAAAACAACGTGCATTCAATTTCCCAAGTGGAAAAACTGGTCGAGGAGTGGAAAAATCGCAACGATGTGCAAAAATCTTTCAAGGAGAAACAAGAACAGTTGAAGGAAATGAGATTAAAGTACGAGAAAATTCAACAAGAGATGAAAGCTGCGATGAAAAAACCGACCCCCTTCGAAAGGGTGAAAAAATTATTTGCGAGGAGCAAATCAAAGGAGGAGAAGTATGAAATTTCCTCGCCCATGTTGGCATCGCCCAGTATCGTGGCTATTCAGTCCCAGAGACCCATCAGCAGTTTGAGTACGTCGAGTTCGGGGTCCTCGGGCCGGATGAGCACCATCAGTGGGTGCAGTTTGGGTGATAGTGGGACCCATTCCGATAACGAGGAACGAAAAGTATTTAATTTTAATTAATTTAGCCATTTTGTAACATTGTGTTTGTTTAGAATATGCTGGGGAGTCACAATGAAGAAGATTTCCGAAATGTGTTCAATAAAGCTGCCTTAGAGTTAAATTATTCGCCAGTTCCGGCCCCTAAACCGGTCAAAACCGGCATTTTCTCCAATCGGAATCAACTATTTGAAACCATTGAGGTTAGTAACGCCCCGTTTTGTTCCTAATGATTCTATTGGTGCGTTTTTAGGAGAAGCCAATCACAAGGCCGGACTCACTTCCGGTGGGGGAGGAGTATTATATCCAGTTTCCGCGCTCGGGCTTGCCAGTGGCGGGTTAGTAATTTTTGTTTTTTTTTTAGTGGGGGTATTTATTTGTTTTTTTAGGAGTTGAGGAGAAAACTGGAGGTCAAGAATACATGAATGTGGGGGCTGCCAAAGACGAAGATGAGACTCACGAATACATGAATTTCAAAGTAATGACCAAGAGATAGACTAAGATTTGATGTAATTTTTTATGTCAATAATTTTTAGTAACATAATATTTATGTGAAACTTTTTTCAAATATTTATTTATTCATTTTTCTGTTATATTTTATGCTCCACGATTTGTATGTTGTTAAATTTATATTTTGTACATTTTTATAATAAATGCAAATACAATTTTTTGGAATATTCGAACTTTATTTCACGAAAATATTTATCAATTTGGCTTAAACTAACGTTATGTGCTAATGCGGGCCCCCAGAGCCCGGTTGATTTTCTCCTGTCTTTTCTGCTGCTGTTCCCACAGCTTCTTCTCCCTGTCTTGTCTTTTTTTCTCTCGTAAGGCTTGCTGAGCGTCCCAGTCTAAGGTTTCACCTTCCCAGCCTGAGTTCTCCTCCCACTCTTGGAGCTCTCCAGACTCCTGCAACGCAAGCAATTAAACTAAAGCCTTAAATATGTGAAAAAACGAACAACTGGTACAGTCTCGATTAAATTCAAGCGAGAGGGAGGCCCTGTCTCCTCCCGGTCGGTTTTAATAAAAACTTTTGTCTGTTTGGTGATTTTTGGGGCCATGTCTTCGAAAAAGTCAAGGCGTTCCTCTGCCGGCACTTCGGATTGCTGCTGAGCGTCAACTTTGCGTTTTCTGTACAGTTCAATGTGATCTTGAACTGTCTTTGGCTCGGAATAGTCGGGTTTATCGTCCCAAGCCCAGTTTTCTTTCTGGTTTGAAACGACTCCGACATGAGTCAACGGCACCGAATCTACGGACACACGACGACGACGTCGAAAACAACACAAAGCGCGTTTAAATACACTCACAAAGAATAAAACCAAGTGTTTTATTTTATTAACTAAAAGCGAAACTACCATTTTGTCAGTCTCACAAGAGTAACATTTTTTAACTTGAACTGAATTAAAAGTGGGTTATTAAAGTGGCGTTATGTTGTGGAAACTACTAGAAGCATTTTTGCCCACGTTTTTTATTTGTTTTCGCGATAAAATTCGAAAAAATAGTAAAACAACTAGTGTCAAAAGTGACAAGTGAGGTTATATCATTCCCATTGCTACGAAACTTCAAAACATTAAATAAAATACATTTTTTTAATAATTGTTTATTTGTAACGCAATTTGTTAAAAATGTTGTAAAAACTATGATGAAACATTATTCCATTTGCAAAATTGCTCAAATAGAATTTGCTGCAGTGGCGCGAAATTCAAACTCGGGAAATTTCCATTCAGCCTCTGACACATTTTTCCCTCTTTGTGGTCCTATCAAGCTCGCATTTTTCACTAGGGCCACATTTGGTATTACCACAGTACGATCCAGTTGCTCCTTCTAATCAATGAGCACAATTTATGTAATAATTATACATTTAGTTTTAACTATAACTTACTCGAATTCGACGAGTATTTTGAATTTGATCCTTTATTTTTGTCTTGATATTGGTAAATGTCAGTGCATGATTTGGTGCCACAAATGTTAGTACAGCAAACCTGAGCCCCGTGGCAGTTACTGTTGTCTTTGCATTTGGGGCTGCAGCTGTCTATGCGACTCGCAGTAGGACAGTTGCTACCTATAATTTTTTTTTAGTTTTTTAAAGTAATGAGATTTTAAACTTACTGCCTAATGACCAAGTGGATTTAATTGCCACTAAAGCAATTAAGCACAAAAGCAATATCTTGGCGTCTAAAACATCATTGTAAATTTTTGTTTGATTAAAATACTAAAATACTTACTCATTTTATCTGTCTTGTAGAATTGCGACTGAGACTAAAATTTCTCTTGACCGACTATTTATGATTGCATTTATTATCCTCGCCTCTGGCATTTTAATTCTGCATTAATTTTACTCCACGTAGCATCATTAAATTGTCATCCCACTAATTAAAGTGGAAATTTTATGATTTACTCTATTGTTTTCAATTTTACACATTGAAACTTACTAGTGTGAAAAAATAAATAAAACTCATTATTTTCATTCAAAGAAGTAAATGATAAAGTTTCTAGAAATGTAATTTTTATTAATTTATGTACAAGAACGTGTTTTGCACACTTTTTTATATTAATAGCCTGAAACACTTTTATTTTGTAATCAACCAATTAAAATATCATCAGAAACCAGTTTGGGAGTAAAAGTAACCACAAGACTGACTACAAAACATTTATTACAAAAAATAATATATTCAAACACATTTAAATTTTGCGCTTTTTTGCTTCATCCACAACCCCATCTTTTGATAGTTTTTTTCTGTTTTTTCATTTGAAATGAGTAAAACTGCAGGTATTTATATGCACGTTATTGGCACTTTAGAAATAATTGAACAACATTTCATTCTTCTGTCAAATCACAATCGTAATCCTGGTCTTCCAGCAAAACTTTGCGGACAAGTAGGTACCATTAGATAAATTTTGGCTCAAAACACAATTATTGCAAAAATAAAAATTTGCAACATATTGTGTTGTTGAAATGTTTTAAATGATTCATTTTTGACACGGTTTTTATAATTGGTTGTTTATCAGAATCGACGTGATTGTAAATGTTTTCATTGTGATAAGAATATTTCATGTGTTTTTCCTGATTTACCTACATTTTGTTTATCAGTATTGTGAATAAAATGTTATTTTAATTGCAAACGTAATCTCCAGTTTTTATGTCTTGCGTTAAATATTGATTAAAACCAATTTTTTGTAGAACAAATTAATAGTGAGCATTCAGAGCATTGTCACTCTTTATACAGAGGTGTGCCGTTTTAATCGGCGAAAATTTAGGAATAGTTAGAAAACGTGAAAATAATGAAAGTTTGTTCTATGAACAATTGTTCAAAAACGCTTTCTTATCAGAGATAAATGTTATTATAATTTGAAGTTTGTTCTAATTTTTTTTTTAATATCTCTTAAATGGAGAAAGCTACTAGTAATTTTTTGCCAATCCGTTTTTTTTTGTGTTACGCCACTGATTGAATTTGAAGTTTTTTTTGACAACAAAACAAAACAACATAAAATAAAACAAAATAATACAAAACAATAATCATCACTGATATAGTGTGCTTGCAAAATGTGGAACTCGTAGCTCTCTTCGTTTAGGGGATAATTTAATGAAAGATGGAAACAAATTTTAAATTTTGGCGCCATTTATCTCTGATAAGGAAGCGTTTTTAAACTATTGTTTATAAGACAAACCAACATTATTTTCACGTATTCTAAAACTATATTCCTGAATTTTCGCGGACTAAAACGGAACCATCCTGTTATACGTTCTTTTATAAACATCCTGTATGTACAATAACTTCACACATGTATTGTTTTTTTAATAATTTTGCATATTAAAATTTCAAGGAATTATAAAATAATAATTTTTTTTCTTTATGTATGTTTGAAACAGTTTTAATACGATTATCGTATATGTTTTTCCAAAAGTAATTAATTTTTATGGGCCCCAAAAGTACTCAAAAATCTACCTTGTTTTTTAAAGCGCCAAATATCATCTTTTCTTGATTTGGTGTTGTTTTTCTTTTTTTTGCATACGCCAAATGGCTTGATCCAGAAATAAAAAGCCATTTTGGAGTGTTTAAAAACGAAACAAGATATTTTGTAATTTTTTTAAAGTGCCCAATTTTTGGGGTCTACAGATATTTGGATGATTCTCAACGGTTTTTTCGTGTGGCCAATTTTTGGTGGTCTACAAATATTTGGGTACTTTTGGGGTGCATAAAAATTTGTGCTTTTTGAAGGATTTTAGGTCTTTTTCGGTTGTTTACTTTTGGGAAAACATCTTAATTTTTAGGATTGTGCCTTGTTTTTTAAGACACCAAATATTCTGGTTCAGACGTAACATTTTACACCCTACATGTATGTACATGAAAAATGTCGATATTACAGATTTAAAACAGAAAATTTTGGAGGGTTTTTATTTATATTTGTATCAAAATTATGCATTAAAACTATATTCAAGGTAATCATGATTTTAGAAAACAAAAATTATGGGTTTCTCCTTTTTAGTTTGAAAAATAATTTTTCATTAATTATTTTTAATTATTTCATTAAATTAAGCTTTTATTTAACTAGAAAATAAACAGAAACTGTTATACCACTGTACTCAGTTTTTAGTTGTTTTTTTTTTCAAATTTAACTGAACTGTTAATCGGTTGTTGTTTTTCAATTTTTATAAAAGACTCAAAAACACCCTGTGGAAGAATTTATATGTGTAGGTACGTTAAACTACAAGACAACTTTTAAAAATCTTTATTTGGGCAATAGAATTAGATTCAATTTTGGATCACTATTGAAAAAATAAATACAAATTTTTGATAATTCACTTAGATTTCTGAAAAAAAAATATATATATATTAATTTTTTAAACAGAAAATAAAACAATGATTACCTCTTCTGGGACAGGAACAGGCGGTTTTGGAAACACCGGCAAACAAATCGCTCCTCCGCAATCATTCTTACAACATTTCATCGGACCAAAACACCCTTCATCGGTCTCACAAAGTTTCAACGAAGAAATAATACAAGCCGGCGGAGGCAAAGCAGGAGGACATTCTCCAGGTTTTTCTGAAGAAATGATTCCAACAAAAACCGACAAAACGACCAAAAACTTTAACATTTTTGACGACAAACTAAATCCATCAACTGCAAAACTCCCTTTTGTAGGAAATTTTCAAATTATTTTTTGCGAAATAGTCACGGAAAAGTAATAACACTAATAACAATTATCAGCGCAACTAATTTAAAGATTATTTGGGTCACAATGTGTTTTAAAGTAAAACAATAAAAAATAATTGAGTTGAAATTTCTATTAAGTCACATTTTGATTGAAAATGTTACCTAATATTGTTTCATTAGGGGTTGTTCCCCCACAATTATTTTGGCAACATTTCAATACTAAAGTTCTCATTTTGTCAAGTGTCATATTTATATACAGAATATTCCAGCGAGTTGAAAAAGTCCTTTAGTGACCTTTAAATGGTAAAATCAAAAATAAAAATATATAGGACATTGATAGATACTAATCTAGTGCATCACCTAAAATTATTTTCAACCATACAGCATGTCTCAAAAATAAGTTACGAGACAAACTTGTGTTTTTTTTAAATAAAACACCGAATGTTTCTTTGCATTTTTGGATGTAGCCTTCTAAAATAATGTTTTTACGCTAAACTTTTCGCTTAATTTTAGAAATAAGACGGTTTTTGATGAAAACATGCACTTTTTAAAAATTTATAACACAAACAGCTAGAACAAATTTTTTCTTACTTCTGCAAAGAAAGACAATTTAATAATCTTTTAAATGCAAAAGCAATAAATAAGTTGTTCCATTTAATTTTTTTACGTTATTGTACTTTTAACAAACGCCTTAATTTTTTTATCTTTGCAAATGCAACACACTAAAAAAATGTTACAACCTTATAGCTTGTACCTTCTTCTTTGCTATAGTAAAAAAATATTTCTAGATATCTTAGTTTTTGTGTAATAAATTTTTAAAAAGTGCATGTTTTCGTCAAAAAAGCCGTCTTATTTTTAAAACTAAATAAAATCGATGAATAAAAGTTTAAAAAGGCTAAGAAACATATGATGTTTCATTAAAAAAAAAACACAAGTTTGTATTGTAACTTATTTTTGAGACATGCTGTATAGTTGAAAATAATTTTAGGCTTTTAGATTAAAATATCTATGTCCTATATAATTTTTTTAATTATACGATTTAAAGGGCACTAATGGACTTTTTCAACACGCTGGGACACCCTGTATAAGTGGAATCGGGCCACAGTTTTGCATTTTATCTTCTACCTGGAAAATTATTAAAAGTGAAATGCAATTTTTAATCTCTTGTAATTTGAATATTTAGAATAAGAAAAATAAGACTTAACAATTCATATGTTTATCAATTGATAATGTATTACGACCTATTTTTTGCGTACAGTAACAGTATATAAATTCTGATACGTTTGGAACATTACCAATTGTGTATTATCTTCAATAATGAAATTATTTTTATTCTTTTTGTTTGTTTTTACTTTAGGGTGGGCACAAAAAGATGGTATTTGTCCCGAACCTATAGGTGCTGGTATATGTACTTCGACTTGTGTTTCGGATTTTGATTGTAAAGGTAATTTGAAATGTTGCGAAAATGGATGTGGAGGAGCAAATTGTGTTTTCCCTGAAGGTTTTATTTAGGTAATTTTTATTGCTTGTTTTTCTCGTAATTGCAGTGTTTGACTTGTAGAAATTTTTGGAAAAAAGAAGACTAACGAATTGATGTTTCGACTTCTATTACCCTAATTACCCTAATTAAATTTTAGTATAATTACATTAAAAATGTTTCATTAAAAACTTCCATTAAATCAAAACAAGTTGTTCTTATTAGATAGTAGCATTTTTTTTTAAATATTGGTATTGGCATCTAGAAATTTATAATCAAAGCTAAAAGTACTTTTTTCGGTAGGTAAATAGAAAAATATTTGCAAAAAACTGTAAAAGAGAGTTCTAAAGAATATCACGATAATGCATGATGTTTAGAATAAATTTGCATATTTAGATTTTGCAAATTGAAAGGTTAACTTCTTGTATTGACCCCATTTGTGTAATAAATTTATTGTCAATAATATACGAGAATAAAATAATTTACCTGAAATGTATCAACTACTAATAAGAGTAGGTAAAACAAGGTTAAGGAGGTAATAGTAAAAAAGCTCGCAAAAAATATTTAATAACTAACTATTTATATCTGTGATTTTGTAATGATTCAAATTATGTCATCTCACGTCGCGAGATCGTTTAAAATTGACTTCACATCTGAAAACTATAAAATATTTAACAAAAAAATTTATTAAATTGTAATAAGAATAATAATTTTTGTTGATTTTAACCGATTAAAAAATGGTGCAAACCGCAACCCAACCACACGTCCGTCCTAAAATCTTTCTAGTTAATTAAATTTTAAACATTATTTGTCGTTTTGTGGTTTCCGTTTTATTAAACCCTTGCACCTACACAACTTCCAATTCCATTCATTAATAAGCCCTACAAGTGTTAACAATGCAGGCAAAACTTTTCATAATCCTTTCAATTCTAACTCTATTTGTTTATGGCCAAAGGCCGCGAACAAAACCGGGAGATTGCCCCCCGTACCCCAATGTGGGGGTGTGTGACGTTACCTGTTATGAAGACAATCACTGTGCTGGACATTTCAAATGTTGCCGGACTGCTTGTGGTGGCACTTTTTGTACGGCCCCTGTAACAACGAGACAAATTCAAAGAGGAGGTAAATACATAATTTTTTTCTTCAAAGTGAATAGCTAAAAATTTTGCAGAGAAACAAGGCTCTTGTCCAGTGGCACCTTCAGGCCCTTGGGTGTGCTCCAGCAGGTGTGCTTTGGATTCGGATTGCAGGGGGGCTAAGAAATGTTGCAGGAATCGGTGTGGGGCCATGGCTTGTACCAAACCTGAATTTTAATTAAAAAAAATATCATTTTACAATTTTGGCTACGTTATTTGAATAAAAATTAGCAAAACGATGTAATTTTTGGTTTTATTACTTCTTTTTTCCATATAATTTGATTTCATTCGAACAAATGCATATTTTAACTCGTGGGAATGAAGTGACAGAGTAAGCAAACTTGACAGTTCTTTTATAGGTTATATTATTGTATTCGGTAATAATAATTGATCACATAACAAATAAGATTGTTTTACGAAATGACAGATGTGGCAAAATACAGACGCAGTCGGTCCCGCTCTGCAGAATACAGAAGACACAAATCCGACAGATCTTCAAGAGATGACCGAAACAGAAGACACATATCTAGGTCTAGATCTTACTCTAGATCACGAGACCGTTATTCCAGCAGACGTAGGTCGAGATCAAGAGGCACTACAACTAACGGTGTAGAAAGAACCAATAAATATGAAGTGGCAAAGAAGAAGCACCTCGAAGACGAATTTATGGAGTCTCGACGCCAGGAGCGTGAAATTATCGGAATGAGAGAGTACCCCAGCATTTGGGGCCAATCCCCCGCACCTGAAAACTCCGACAGTGACATCGAAGACGTCACAAACAACGCCCCTAAAGTCAAAAAACGGAAGAAGGATAAGAAAAAATCCCACAAGAAAGAGAAGAAACATAAAAAGAAGAAGAAAAAGAAGAGGTCTTCAAGTGATAGCAGCAGTTCAGCGGAAGAAGAATGGGTTGAGAAGAGCACAGTTACGAATAAACCCCAAACTAGTACTGAAGAAGCTGAGAATACTATCGTGGGCCCTATTTTGAAGCCCCATGCCGCTTTGACTCACAAAGAGATGGGCAAAGCCCTGCTTCCTGGCGAAGGTGCCGCCATGGCTGCTTATGTCGCCGAAGGCAAAAGGATCCCAAGGAGAGGCGAAATCGGTTTAACTTCTGAAGAAATTGAAAGTTTTGAGGCTGTGGGTTATGTCATGTCTGGTTCAAGACACAGAAGAATGGAGGCTGTGAGAATACGGAAAGAAAACCAGATTTATTCTGCTGATGAGAAACGGGCTTTGGCGATGTTTAGCAAGGAGGAACGACAAAAGAGGGAAAATAGGATTTTGGGACAGTTCAGAGAAATGGTTAATTCGAAATTAGCCGAAAAGAAAAATTGATTTCTTAGAACTAGCATTTACTCTACATAAATAAAGTGTGTTTTTTGTAATACTTTCATTTATTTTGTTGTACCCAACCGGTCCAACCACCAGGAAAATGTTTGGCGCTGAAAATTTTAATTTAAATTTGAGAACATAAAGTGGACATTTTACTTCACATATCCCATTTTTTTTGCCAAATCTAATGCATTCTGGCTTCGACGCCCCGATTGACAAGAGAAAACTATAGGAGTAAGGTCTGTAGGCTTTTCTCTTTTGAAAATTTGACGAAACTGATCTTCACTTGTGTCTTGTAGTGTTTCTTTTAAAGTAGCCACTTAAAAATTACCTTAAAATTAATTGAGAGGCACATTATGGTACTTACAAGGTATATTGATGCTCCCAGGTATGCTACCTGTTTGTGCTAATTCCGAAGGGTCCCTTACGTCAATTAGAAGAACCTGTTTGTTGTCTTTTAGGCTTTTAACGTAATCAAAAGTTACCTCGTCTGACATAATTTGATTTCTGAATGAATTTACAAATACGTTGTAAGTTATATTTGATATTTATGACGTTTAGGCACTTAGATGCAATTGACGTAGAGGGCGCGCGAGTAAGAGGAATTTTTACGAGGCTGAAATGGACTCTAGGTGGAGAAAATGTTTTCGATTCTCAAACAAACTCGTTACAAAAGATTACGGCCTGAATCGATCCCAGTCTCTTCAAAACATGTTCATTGTCGAAAAATGTGCGAAATTTGAATTTATTGATTTGGTCCGTTTTTGATTTTTTGTTGTTGGTAATGACAATCTGTTTTTTTATTTTTTTTTTCGAATACTCACACAACTGAGTCACTTCATTACATATAAATCAACCGTAATAATTGTTCATAATTGTATGCAAATGTATGGTCAATTAAAACATTTTATTAATATTTTTATTTGATTTGTTGAACAGACATTCCCCTTCCATTTTTGGTACCAACCTAACGGGCAAAAACGTGTGACGAAATGTCATCGGGTTGAGGAAAATCGCGTTTTTTTCATTAAAAAAACGTCGAACCGGTTTTTGTAATCAATCAACCACGTTATTTGCTCTGTAGAATTGTGTTTCTTCCTTAAAATCATTCAATTCCTGTCAGGATAGTTCGAAATCGAGCGGAGAAATCCCTGATGACGAACCACATTACGTCATCACAAAAATGAAATGGTGGTTGTATCGGTCGGGCGTTGTAAATTAAATGCAACTGAAACATAACAAGTCCTCCGGAAAAATCGTTAATTCCAAGTAAATAAAGTGCAATTTGTCGTGTCGTGTAGTTTTGTACAGTTTACTTTAATAGGTAAGTCTTGTTGGCACTTGCCACAAAAGGGGCTGTCCAAGTACGGCGAATCCGTTTTTCTACTTCCATCGCCAAGACCGCGACCTAAACCTTCTTGACCTTTCATCTCGGGGGTTTTTCAATCTATATTCGCCCAATCGGGACTGTGACAATCCGTTTTTCCAGGATTAAAGCCATGTCGGATCGCAAAGCCGAGTTGGAGAGGAAGAAAGCCCGGCTGCAGGCGTTGAGGGAGGAGAAGGACCGCCGACGACGGGAGAAGGAACTCAAGGATGTGGAAGAGGCGGCCAACAGGGTTATTTTGGGAACTGAAGGAGACAGAAAGGAGTTGGATGAAATGCTCAGTTCGTTGGGGGTTGCCCCCGTTTCGGATATTTTGTCAAGTATTTCCAGTGCGAATTCTATCACGCCCGACCATAGCCACAATCACACGCCGGATACGTCTCTTCTGCCCCATAGTTCACCCAACAAGTAAGTTGGTAAAAAAATATTTTTGAGGGTGGGGACCATGAAAAATAGAATAACAAAAAAAATAGGACCAAATATACTCTTTTTCATATTAATATGCATCAAGCAGGTTGTACAAGTCTAAATAAATCTTTAAGTTAAAGGCCTATTTAGACAAAAAGTGTCATTAATGTCATTCAGAACAAATTTAATCACTTCAATAATAACAAAAATCTTTAAGTTTGCTACACTATGTTAATTACGTTGTTAATTTTAATTATTTTTTGCTACATGAGGTACACATTTATTTGAAAAATATTTTTTAGCAAAGATTGAGGTTAGGATTGTTGAATTTTCGCATGTTTGCCACCTAAAATGATCCCTTTCAACGACTACTTCGATGCACATTAATATGAAAACGAGTATAGGAGTTATGATATATACAGGGTGTTTCAAAACTTGAGAGAAAAACCCCAAGTAACAAGTACCAGGAACATGGAAAAATGGTTAAAAAATTCTGTCAAAAAATTTGACTTTTATTTTTGACATTTGACCTTTATTATGTCTATTAAATAGACAAAGCAATAAATTAAAATAAATAATAAAATAAACTGATAATAAAATAAAAACACAAAAACTTAACCAATAAAATCCACAAATATTTAATATTAACATAGTTACAATTCAGGATCTTTCCTCTTCTTATAGCCTGCAGCAAAAAAAAAACATGTAAAATTATTTTTCCAAGAGGAATAAATAGGGTCAAAGTGCAAAATTGAAGCCCCCATAATGTCGAAATTTTTATAGATCTTAACTTACTTTTTCTCTGGGACACGAGTTCTGTATGTAAAACAGTTGATAAATTGATAATTATTATAAGTATACAAAGGTTTTAATTAGTGATCACTTGAGAAAACGTGAAATTGGTAGTACAATACTTTTTGCCCAAGAGGTTGGTACTATTATTTTTTTAATTTGTCCATAATTTCAATTTTTTTTATAATTCCAAATGCTGAGATTTTTTATCTATTTTTTTATTTCTTATTTTAACGAGTTTTGTCAAATAGCCTACTGCGGTGCACATTTGTAACATTGACTTTAAATCTTTAATTAAGTTGTTACAAATTCATTCAACCATTCTTTGTTAAATTCATTCATCATTAAATTCAAGTTCAAGGTTTGGCTTGTAGTTTTTGGCGATACATTCTTGATTTACATGAATTGTTTTTTATGTATTAAATTGACAGAAATATTTAATGAACAAAAACACGATTAGCCCGTCACACCAAACTTTTATTTAAAACACAACGCGTTTCAACCACTAATAAGTGGTCATCCTCAGGTGAGAATAAAAACTATGAAAAATAAAAACAGTTTTTATTCTTCGTTTCCATACCAAGAAGATCCAGGAAGAAGAAGAAATATTTAAATAAAAAAAAATGACAAAAAAGGAACTGAAAATAAAAATGTGAACGGACAAATCAATATTTTTCCTAAAAACTAGGAATGATAAGTAGTTATTTATTATACAAGACGATAAACAATCTTTACGGTGTATAATACAACATTTTTTTCTATAGCAGGACTTAAGTTTAAGAGAAAAAATATGATTTCAAAAAAAAATACAATTTTTGACATTTCTCAATACGAAACGTCAGATTATTTTTAACAGATTTAAAGCAAGTTTAAACCTTGTTGAGTCTAATTCGAAGAATAAAATGATTTAATTTAAAAAAAAATGTTATTAAACAGCAAAAGAATCTTCTAAGAAAATTTAGAAATGAAAACACAAAAACGGAGACAAATTGGGTATCGCAGTCTTTGAAGACGAAAAGTGTGCAAGCAGAAGTCAGAAAAAGACCACCTCTAAAATTTAGACGCAATTTGTAATGCAGGTTTGCTAAATATTCTCTAATTTTTAGTAAGAAATTGATGAGAATAATACAGAAGTAGTCTAATATATGTAACTTTTTAACTAAGATTATTATGCCTAGTTTTCTTTGTCATTTTCCTCTTTACTATGTATTTTTTTTCAACAAAACCGGTATTTCTACCAAAGCATCAAAAACAACGTTGGATTTAACTTTTTATCCTGACTTTTAACCTCTTTTTTCTAACTAAAATTTTCCTAAAAACATCAATTTAAAAAAAAGAGTGGGTTTTCAAGTTTTAGTCGTTGAAGTTTGTTGAGTTTGATAAACAGCCCATTGAAGTCTTTTCAAATAATTGGGAAAATTACCTGTTTTTAAGCCCATTTTATCTATTAAAACATCGATTTTTTATGGAAAATAACCTATTTTTCATGATCTTTTTAAAAATGTGAGCGAGCCAGATTTTTATGCTTAAAATAAGGAAAATTACTCTGTTTTTTTAATTTCTTAATTAAGTTTGAGTTTGCCGATAACCGTTCCGAATCCCCATCAGCTTGACCCTGGTTAGGTTCGTTATGGTCCACTGGGTTAACATTTGCATTTCCTTCCGGATTGCTACAACAAAAGTTTTAGATACTTATGTTGATGGGGTATTTTCTTACCTATATTCCAAGAAATAACGAAGACAGATAATAAAGAGCGGTTTGGCCCATCGGGTGAGGTAATTGAGATTTATTAGAGATTTATTATAAGAAACGGAAAAAATTTGGATACAAATATCTTAAAAACTTTATACTTTGCCTTTGTCAATTCCAAATTAGAATTTGCATGTGTTGTTTGGTCGCCGCGTTATGAAACTCACAAAATTGATACCATAAAAAGTTGTAATTTCTTGGACTGTGATTGATAAGAGAAAGGTTATGGGAAAAATAAAGTCCATTCAAAAATTTCAGTAAAATATGACGTTTCAATGGTACATTTTTTTAGATATAAAAAACAAAAAACTTGTCTAAAATTGGCGACACTGTCACGTGTGTGGTAGAAGGATTCATTGAAACGTCATATTATACTGAAGTTTTTAACTGGACTTTATTAGAGTTCCTATATTTGAAGAGTTGGGACACTGAACGTCAAACCGAGCCAATTTTGTATTATGTGGATAAGGTATACAGGGTGAATATAAAGTATGGAACCAAGAGGTTTTATTTTTAATCATTTGCCTCCGGAAAATAATAATTAATATAAATTAAAGTAATATAAAAAATGTGATCGTATTTTCAGGACGAAATTTTGTTTTGTTTTTGAGTTATGCGATTTTTTTTGTCAAAATTGCAATTTTCGTGAAAAAAATTTTTTGAAAAAATTAAAAATAAAGCAGATAGTTGTAATCCTTAGAGTATAGCTTTTATGAGAAAAATGATTTTATAGTGGGTTGCCATTTAAAAAAAATATTTTTTTTTGTAGAACTCAAAAATAAAAGGAAATTTCGAAAAATTTTATTCTTGTTAAATCATCACATTTTTATAGTACTTTAGCACTCATCAATTAGTTTTTTCAAAAAATAAATAGTTTGAGCAAAAAACGTTTGGTTCCAAACTTTTTATTCACCTGGTATACGTTCTACACTTTTTCATTAAAATTTTTCGTAGCAACTAATATCAAGTTTATTTCAAAAATAAAATTATTTTAAGGTTATAAATTTTGTCCCATTTTCAAATTGACATAATTTTACGTCAGATTTAGTCAGGGAAGTAGGAGATAAATGGACATTGAGATGCGACCAGACAGGAAAAAATTATGTGTACACGGTTGCTGTATACAGTATAAGTAATAAAAACTTGATAATGTCTCCAGAAAACGTTTTAAAACCTGAAACTTACGAAAATATTAGACTTGACCTGACCTGACATAGATAAAATAAAACACTCCAAACAACGGAATAATAGTCCTTGATCATGTGAAAGCTTCACCTTTGTTTTTGATAAATTTTACTTTTGGGGCCCACACTCCAGTTGGCTAGTTTTAAAGAGGTTCCACTTGTCTTACACTGTCTGGTGCATTGGTGCAACGTGGCACAGAAAACAACTCACAGTTTCTTTATGTATTAACACAATAGGACCCAGCAGAATTGGTCATAATGACAAAGGACAGAGGTCAATTTTTATTTGACAAATTTATTTGATTTTTTGTAAAGTTTTATCGAAACGCCACTGATTTGTATCCAATTTTATTGTTATTATACAGCAGACGTATATAAAAGAAAAATTGGAAAATTGACATTCAGTGTCCCAACTTTTCTAATATAGGAACTCTAGACTTTATTTTTCCCATAACATTTCTCTTCACAAAATTGAAATTGAAAAAATCCAGAGACTAAATTACTTGATATACAGAATTGATGGGATTTATTCAACTAGAGGTGAAGTCTGTTTTTTCTTTAAAAGGAAATTACCAAGTTAAAATTTTGGTGAAAAAATTGGTAGCAGCTTGTCTTCATAGCCACAAATTTTGTTTGATCACTCTGATCTCCTAGAGACATTTTGATTCGTCAGTTTAGATCGAAGAAGAACTTGTCTCTTTGTACTTTTTTTGTATAAATTACTCTCTAACCTTTAGTTAGGCGTGCCTAAATCGGCTTACACAGTAAGTCGCGTGGAGTGATTTTGATCCTATTTTCTGTTTGAAATTTGGTGTTTTTTTGTTGTAGTACCTAAAATATGTTCTTTGGACCTTTAACAACACTTATGCAAAATATTTAACTTATGTTGAAATTGATTATTTTGGATTTTATTCAAAAATAATAAAGGTAACTCTACAATTTAACAAACAAAAACAAAACGAAAAATATATTTAAGCAAATTATTTGGAAAAACTTATTATTCTTTACAATCAACACACATGAAACTGGACTGTTGATCGTAAACGGGTTTTGTACAATTCTTGCAGATTTTTCTGGTTTTTATGTCTTTTTTTCAAAAATAACACATCTTTTGAGTTGCGGTAGGTGTTGGGAGCGTAAGCTTCTGGTGATGTCCTTTCCAATCATCGTTTCAGAGGTCTTGACAGTGATGGGATATTTTTCCTGACATTGATTTGTTCGGTTGCCAGACCCGTAGCCAGTGTTCTAAGGAAAATTCCACGTTTCAGTTTAGGCTTATTACTTACATTTCACTTTTGAATCGCATCTTATGGGCAGAAGATCGAAATTTGACCTTCAATTCCATAAATTGGTGAATGATTAAACTAATCTGTTTCGCCCATGTGGGAATAATCTTCTCGCCTCACTAGAAAAGGATAAGGAACATTGACGATGAAAGCTCTACCTTCTCCTGTCATTAATGTTGTTGATTTTGACTTGGTAATTTCCATTTAAAAAAAGAACAGACTTTATATAATCTACACTCCTTTTTATTTTAAATAACACCGTATATTATTTTTTCTACTTTGCGTTCGTACTAAGGTCCATTACGAAACTGTTTTGGGTTTCGTAATGAACAAAAACAGTGCTATAAAAATTATACTAAAAAGAGGGAAATTTAGTCTTATAATGTTGGCGACCTAACCGTTTTTCCATCGAACTGTCAGTGTCAATCGGTCTAACGCAAATGAAATTATTCAAATACGAAATTTTTGCTATGTTTGGTTTAATTAATCATCGCAAAAAATATTCCGAATGAACATGATTTTAGTGGTGCTTACGCATACCTTTAGATCATAGGACAAAGTAAAATAAAAGGTACTTACTTTGCCGTCAAGGTCGGTATTTCTAACGCCGTACATTGCAACACGTCTTCGACACCTTCGAAATTCATTTTTACGAATAAAATAATGACGTTTCAAATTAATTTATTTCATAGCCACCTAGCCACCACGCAATGTCGCCAACTGCCGCAAAATTCCCTACATTCAAAAATTTTTCTTTTTTTGTTTAAAAAGTGCAAAGTAGAAAAAATACTGTATGATATCTCGTTTATAAGGCATTTTGTCGCACTTACTGCTTTATGACCCTCCTCGCTGCGCTCGTCGTGTCCTAAACACGTGCGTGCGATAAAATGCGTCTTATAAAACTCGTATCATAATATACTATTATTCTGCGACACTGTCAAAATTTACGGTTTTTCTCCCGTGTAAGGAAGTTTTGACAACTGTTTGGCATTTCTCAATACGAAACGTCAGATTATTTTTAACAGATTTAAAGCAAGTTTAAGCCTTATTGAGTCTAATTCGAAGAATAAAATGTTGTATTCAACTCGTTTGAGTGAAAATCGGACGCTTTATTCCACCTCGTGGATGATTATTTTTAACAGATTTAAAGCAAGTTTAAGCCTTATTGAGTCTAATTCGAAGAATAAAATGTTGTATTCAACTCGTTTGAGTGTAAATCGGACGCTTTATTCCACCTCGTGGTTTAATAACCCACTCGGTGGGATAATCCGTCCGATTTACACTCAAACTCGTCGAATAAATAACTATTATTGATTATGTAAAAATTGTTTATCTCTTTAAATAATTCAAAGTATTCATTTTACTAAAATTTTTATTTTTTTATTTTTAGCCTTAGTCATGGAAAAAAGCGAGCACCGAATTTGAGCGTAGTCCAGGTACAGTCCACCAACATACCACCGAAAGAAACCGTACTTTACACAAAACAAACACAAACAACGGCAACAGGACACGAAAGGGACGGTAAGTTGATTTTGTGTTAATCGTAATTACGAGTACAGCACGTGCCACATTTTATATTTTTTTTACGACGAAGTTTATGGAAGTAGAAAAAAAGAATAAAATAAATGGGACCAGCATTGATTTGCATGAGTTTATCTAACAGCAGCCTTTAATAAATGTTTTCTTCCTTTAAGAATAAAATATTTATAGGAAGGAAACTTACATTTCTTGTTTTTTTTTTTTTTTGATCGAGTCAAGTTGTCTTAATTTGGCTGCACGCCTTTTTTATTTCGAAATTATTTACTAATCCGGCTTTTGGTGCTTTGTACACTTTTTTCTCGATGTTGGCCTGAATCAAAGTGAACATAAAAACATTGTTGCTTCCAGATTATTTTGGATTTTCTTCATGGAAAAAGTGTGAGTAATTAGTGCGTTGTTTTTATTTTCATTTTCGTTCAGGCGTCTCTTTAATTTCCTCTTAATAGAATTTCATTCCTTTTTATTTTATTCTGGTCGGGCAAAATTGATTTATGTTTGGTTATGTATCTTCTTGAATCGGAAACCTTTGTAAAATTGTATCGGTGGTTTCCATCAATGAAGATTATTTTAATTTAGACATGTGACATATTGTTATATGCGTTGCTAACAAGGATCTTCTTCATCTTCTTCCCCACTTAAAGGCTACATGGAGGACTGGTGGAGGCCACGAAAAGGTATGGTGCACGTAAATGTTGAAACTTTTAATGTACTCACGAATAACAGCACTGTACATTTATTGGTTATGCACAGACTAAAAAAACTGAATAAATTGTACAGGAGGAAAATTGAAAAACATGTGCACCTACCCTGTCTTCACGCTTCTTTCTCCTATGGTTGTGGAAATTTCTCATAGAATACAATAGACTAGCATTTTAAATACAAATTAAAGATTTTATCGAAATAGTAAATTACATGTAGGTTTCCTTCAGTTATTTATTTATTATTATTATACGAGGAATTTTTGTAATTTCATTGTTTAGTTAAAAGTCAATTTCAATAAATATAATAATTTTTCTTCCTTTCCTTCCCAGCTCATGCAACCGATTACTACGGTAAGTTTATGATTTTATTTTCAATATTTGCTTATAGCGTTTTTCATTATTTATATACGAAACCCATCCTTTTCCTTTTTGTTCATTTCGGAAATACACAAAAGGCACTTTTTTGTTCACTTTTCTCGGATTTTTTGTTCAAAGGGCACATGTTGGATTTTCTGGACTAACATCAAAGCTTGTATATTTGGACGGTGCGGGTGAAACTTTTTCGGAATTTTGATCCATAGCCAATCTTGCATTCAAATTGAAAAAAAAAATTGTTTCTTGGCGCTTCATTGTGATAGTGATAAACATCGTTAAAATTTAGGATACAACTTCATTGTTTCCTCTTCTAATAGCCTGTAGTAAAAAACTTAGAAAATTATTTTTTCAACAGAAATAAATAAGAGTCAAAATGCAAAATTGAACTCTTATAATTTTGAGGAGAATTTTTTTTTGACATTTTTTTCCATGTTTCTGGTGTCTTACCTTCTCTACAGCGCGAGTTCTGAAACGCCCTGTATAAAAGAGGATGTTAAATTTTAAGGATTCAATAAACTTTAGTTTGTATAATTTGATTGGTTTAGTGTCATTGCTTGGCAACGGATGTAGTTGACGTTTTAATCATTTTTTTAATTATCGATAAAGTAACTCAGACTTAATAAAGTTTCACTCGTCCGTCGCCAGCTTGATTAAAACGTAATCTAGTAACAGTACTCACAAATAACTAACCGCATGTTAACTGCCATTATATGAATGTAATGGAATTAAATGTTGATATATAACCGAATTTTTTTTTTCGGTTAATAATTATCAAACGGTTGCAGTTAAAGTTTTGTTGTTAGTGCAGCCAAGTCATAGACAACCTTTAATGTAATTCTAATAATTCTATTCCTACTGATACATGTTTCTTTCCTCTTAAGACGAATACAATCTAAATCCGGGTTTAGAATGGGAGGACGAGTTCACAGGTAGGTGGCTTTTCCGACTCCCATCAAGATTTTAATCAATATAATAGTGCACTAACGTTATTTTTATCCATCATGTTTTCATACGATTAGGATGTAGAATGCTTAGTAAATCGGGGGCTTTTTGGTTGCTTCTTTATCGATTCGTAGAAGTAGATACTCACTCACTAAATGATTGAATGTAACGTAATAATCAGGCATGTGTTTTTTCGTTTTATTTTTTCTGTATTAACCGGAGTGGAATGAAATTCTTTGAGTTTTTGTTCTCGTTCCTCCTACTTTTCTTCCTCACCGTCCTAGCATTGCGCCTGAAAGAATCAACATGTAATTAAATGCGATTGTTGAGCGATCGTTTTACATATTGATTTTGTATCAAATCGGCCGTTTAGTTAGTTTGTCGTGAATGTGGGCTTATGCGTGTGGGATGAAAGGGCGATAGAGCGTTTCCCTTATTCACCACAGTTTTGACGTATGACGATGGACAAGGTGAAGACGAAGAAGGTAGCCTTCCACATTTGGGCGGATTCGGGAGCAAACTACCACCGGGAATTCTACCACATGGGTTGCCACAAGTCAAGGAGGTACAACCGGCCGTTACGGCCCTGGAACAGGAACAGGCCAAACAGGAGGTCAAAGAAGGTGAGGTTTGAAATTATTTTAACATAAAATTTCTTCTCTTTTTAAAACGTAAAATTACCAAAATTATGAAGAGTTTTGCTATTTTTTGTTATTTTGGAAGAAAAACAGGTACCAACTCAAACAAAATAGTGTCTTACAAACAAAATATATATTTTTTAATAATCATCTGTAATAAAAACCAAAATATTTTTGCATTTTAGCACGTTTTTTAGTCAGAATCGCATTTTTTTGAAAATTTTTGCTAAAACAGATCGCAAGACTACCAAATTAGTTTGGTAGACTTCTTTATCTTTGTCTTTATCGAACGTTTAAGGACACTTTCCTTCTAAAACTTATTTTATTCACAAGGTTTCGCTATAACCGTTTAAAAAAAATACATTTTGGGCTGTAAATGATGTTTTTACCTTTTTGAAGCGTTTTTAAAAGCTGAGTTTTTTACGAGATATCGAAAACCTAAGCCCACTAAATTATGCCGAAAAAGACATTATTTGTGCCTTTTTAAATCGTTTTAGAACGCTTTTCAACTAAACACATTTTTTTGGAGAAATTACACTCTAACAGACTGAAGAATAACCAATTTACATAGTAATTTTAGTCAAAACAATCACCAAACTAGAACAAAGGTGCTTTTTTTGTTCTGCACTTGTTTCAAAATTTCACAAACAAAAAAATTATGTAATTAGGTCGAAATAGTTATTTATTATATAAGACGATAAAGAAATTAGTCCACAAGAGGACTTTTTTCACGAGTAGATAAACAATCTTTGTGTGTATAATATTTCTTTTTATTTTGTACTCACCTAGGAGAATTTCTTGAATATAAACAGTAGATAAAAATTACTATATTTCACTAGACGATGATAGACTACTTTAGTAATTAGAAATTTAAAAATTTTGTTGATAAAAGCACTCTTTAGCATTGAGTACAAAATAAAAGATATTAATTTTCCATTTCGAAAGCATTTAAGCACGTTTTTGGCCTAAAAACCGAGTTTTTTCTAAAAACATATCAAAAAATCACTATATTATATCGAAAATGATGTTATTTTTGTTTTTTTTATAACATTTGAGTACGTTTTTCAGACAGAAACGCATTTTTTTACGGAATTTTGTTCAACCAAACCGAAAAATTACCAAATTAGCTCCAATAAATAATAATAATAAATAATTTTGTCTTTTTCAACTAGTTTAGAACGCAATTAAAACGCATGTTTTTGAGAAATTACTCCCAAACAGACCAACAAATTAAAGGGAAAATGTGATTTTTTGGTTGGTTTTGCCTAAGCGATAAACTAACTTATTTCGTCAAAAGAAGCCAAAAATCATCAAATTCGAACAAAATTGATAATTTTTGGCCTGTTTTCCTCGATTTAGTGTGTTTTTGAACCACAAACGCAAATTTTACTACACAAGTTGAAAAATTTTCAAAATTAGAAGTAAAATATATTAATTTTACCTTTTCAAGCGTTTAAACACGTTTTTGGTTTAAAATCCGAGTATTTTCGCGAGATTTCCTTAAAATGTGTCAAAAAATATCCAAATGATGTTATTTTTTAAAGCATTTGAGCACGTTTTTCATCCCAAAACGCACTTTTTTATCTAATTTTGCTTAAACAACCCGAAAAACAACATTATTTTAGCACGTTTTTTAGTTAAAAACGAAACACTCAAACAGACCAAAGAATTACCAAATGATATCCAAATTGACGTTATTTTTCTTAGTTTTGCTCGATTTAGTTAGCTTTTTGAGCTGGAAATGCATTGATTTTGCGGGAAATTTTACACAAACTGAAAAATTTTAGAAATAGGTCGGAAATGATTTTAATTTTGCTTTTTTTAAGCGTTTAAACACGTTTTTGAGCTAAAAAAAAATCCAAGTTTGTGTTCTAATATCACTAAACTGCGTCGACAATTACGAGTACCTTTTTTTAATTTTTTTACAAAATTTAAGCACGTTTTTTAACCGGAAACATTTTTTTCACGAAAATTATCTTAAAACATTACTAAATTAAATAGTCTTAATATTTTTGTTTGATTATTATGGATCGGTAGTCCGAGAGTTGAGCGAAGAGGAAAAGCAGATGATTATCCTATCGGAGGACTTTCAGCACTTCATCGACAGGGCGGGAAGAGTGATGGAAAGGGTCTTGTGTGAAAATGTGGATTATTACACGGATTACAGCGGTGGAGCAGGAGAAGAAGGACTGTAAGTCACTTATATTACCAAACAAAAGCTCATCACACTTGTATTTAATTCTTATTATTAAAGAGATGAGAAATCGCACCAACGCATCTCTCTCAATCGCTACTTCTTTGACGAACGATGGTCGCGTAATCGATGCGTGACATCATTGGATTGGTCGCCTCAGTTTCCGGAGTTACTGTTGGCTTCCTATAACAACAACGAAGACTCTCCAAACGATCCAGATGGCGTGGTTTTGATTTGGAATACCAAATTTAAAAAGGCAACGCCTGAGTATATTTTTCATTGTCAGAGTGCTGTGTTATCAGCAAAATTTGCGAGATTTCATCCGAATCTCATCTTGGGTGGTACTTACTCGGGACAGATCGTCCTTTGGGATAATAGGGTGCAGAAGAGGACGCCGATACAGAGGACGCCCTTATCGGCATCCGCACATACGGTTGGTTTGTTTTATTCATTACACAGGGCGACAAAAAAAGTCATGTCGTGACAACTTGACCAATTTTATATCATTTTGTTCGTCTCAGTAAGACAAATCAAATGCACTAAAAAAATTTTTAAAAGTCCACACACTTTGAACAAAATAATTTTTTTCTAATTTAAATGAATTTAAAATACTTTAACTTTAAAAAATCATTACTCAATAACTATTAGGCCGATTTCCTTCAAATAAAGACCATTCTAAAGGGATGGACTTGTCCTTTAGAATGATATGCAATTTGAAATTGAATGTTGGCAAACTTTTCTTCGAACAGTGTTCGAAGAAGTTCGAAGTAATCTAAGAAAAACCCTACGAGTAATTTTTTTTTCTTCGTCACCATCGTGTAGAGCATCTTTTTATTAGTAAGAATCCAAATTTTTAAAATAATATACCGAGTAGTTTTTAAGATATGATTTTTTGAAGTTAAGGTTTGCTATTCAGGTATTGCGCCATATAAGAGAAATGCATGTTAATCTTACTTAAAATTGCATTTTTATAAAAGTGTTTGTTTTAAGACCCTTCTTTTGCTTAAAAATGGTCAATTGCACCTTCTTTGTTCTAATTACAATAAACAAAAACTGTTTGTTTACTTAAACAAATAAAGAGTACATGGCGTACTAAATAAAGCAAAGAGTTTTTTTGTTGTAAAAATGACAACTGATTATTGAGCAAAGAGGATCTAGAAGTTTAAGGCACGAGCCTTAAATATAAGGGCAAATCTTTTCCAAATGAGATCACTTTCTATTCAGATTTCGACTTGTTCACTTTGTTCTAGCTTTCTGAACTTTTTTTGAAAATGTTCTGGCAAATGCTTTCTCATCACTTTCGAGTTAAATGCAATAAGTCACCTGATTTATTTTGTTGGTACGATTAGCTTTAGTTAGCTTATAGGTAGTAGTTGTTGTGATAACAGTTGCACACCAAGCAACTGACTTATTACATTCAACATCAGTAGAAAGTGTTGAGAAAGCATTTGCTGACAACATTTAAAAAAAAAAGTTCAGAAATCTAGAACAAAGTGAACAGGTTGGAATCTGAATGGAAAGTCATTTAATTTGAAAAAGATTTGTTCTTATATTTAAAGCTACTGCTTTAAACTTCTAGATCCTTTTTGCTCAATGATCAGTGATCATTTTTAGAACAAAAAACTCTTTATTTGCTTTAATTAGTACGCAGGTACTCTTTGTTTGTTTTAAGTAAAGAAACAGTTTTTTGTTTATTCTAATTAGAACAAAGAATGTGCAATTGACCATTTTTAGGCAAAAGAAGAGTCTTAAAACAGATACTTTTATAAAAATGCAATTTTAAGTAAGATTGACATGCATTTCTCTTAAATGGCGCAATACCTGAATAGCAAACCTTAACTTCAAAAAATCATATCTTAAAAACTACTCGGTATATTATTTTAAAAATTTGGATTCTTACTAATAAAAAGATGCTCTACACGTTGGTGACGAAGAAAAAAAATATTAAGTTCATTTAAATTATAAAAAAATTATTTAGTTCAAAGTGTGTGGACTGTTTGAATTTTTTTTTAGTGCATTTGATTTGTCTTACTGAGACGAACAAAATGATATAAAATTTGTCAAGTTGTCGCGACATGACTTTTTTTGTCGCCCTGTGTTATTGTTATTTTTTATTGTTTTTTTTTTCAACTTTAGCACCCTGTGTATTGCTTGAGCGTGGTGGGCACTCAGAACGCCCACAACCTGATAAGTATCTCAACCGACGGTCGCCTCTGTTCGTGGTCGTTGGACATGCTCGGGCAGCCCCAAGAGACCCTCGACTTGCACCGAATGCAATCGAAACCCGTGGCTGTGACCTGTTTAGATTTCCCACATTCCGACGTTAATAATTTTGTGGTAGGCAGCGAAGAGGGGGCCGCATACTCGGCGTGTCGTCATGGGGCAAAGGCCGGAATCACCGACACTTACGACGGCCATCAGGGCCCCATCACCGGCATCAGCGTGAACTCAGTCCAAGGCGGGATCGACTTCTCCCACATGTTCCTGACGTCGTCCATCGACTGGACCATCAAGTTGTGGAGTCTGAAGGTAAAAATAATCACAGGAGGTGGCAATTTATCCCAATTTTTGTCCAGGACTCGAAACCGATCTACTCGTTTGAGGACAACGGGGATTATGTCTTGGACGTGAAGTGGTCCCCGGCCCATCCGGCTCTTTTTGCAGCCGTGGATGGGAGTGGGAGGTTAGATTTGTGGAATTTGAACCAGGATACAGAAGTGCCGGCTGCTAGTGTCACAGTGGAGGGAAATCCGGCCCTGAATAGGATCTCGTGGACTCCGTCGGGGCTCCACGTGACCGTCGGGGATAACCAAGGGAAGATTTGGGTGTACGACGTTGCGGAAAATTTCGCACATCCGAGACACGACGAGTGGAACAAATTCTTGTATACGACCCAAGAGTTGAGAAATAATCAAGTCGATGAAGAATTAGAAAAATTAAATTATTCAGTCTCTAATACTCCTTTGTCTAGTATGGGTTCGATTACTACTACTCCTCTGCGATAAATAGCAAATTTAATCCAGTAATCCTAATAATTTATTATCTAAACGGTTTTTGAATTTTGCAGATGCGGTCTGGGAATCTGAAGAGTACTGGTAACAAAACCTACTAAAAAGAACAGAACGGCGATTTATATTGTTTGGCCATTGTATTATTGCTTGATTCAGTGTAATTCAGCTGTAGAATAAGTACCATTATTCTGTATACTTACTTAAATAATTTTTGCATGTAAATAAAATCCATTTTTTTTTAAACAATTGTCAAGGTCAAAATTCCCTCAAAGACCAGACTGCACTACCCTAAAACCTTCTTTTCAGAACAACTGTATATTAAAATCTCCCTAGATTAGAATTGAGCTTATGTTAGTAATTTTCAAATGTCAGAAAAGTTTCAAGTGAAAGCTAATTTTTTACCAAAAGACAAGAAAGGACACGGAAAAATGAAACTCCTAACCGGGAAAAATTTATTTAATTGGTAGTTTACTCATTTTCAGAATCTTTCAAAATTTTCACACCACCAATCGTCTTCAGAATCTGATTCCGGAGAACGTTGAATCATTATTACATTGGAGGAATATAATAAAATGTTGGATTAGTCGTGCAATTTATTGGATGCAGTTCTTTTTTAGGAATTTTTACACGACCAAAATTGTCAAATTCATGAAGAATTTTAACATGGTTGGTTTTTTGTCTGCATATATTCACAAAATCTAATCATAGCTATTTATTTTTCTTGTTATGTTAGGGTCCAGATCCTTGCTTTTAGAAACTCATTTTTGTAAACGACGACTCTTGAGGTAAAACACAATTTCACAATAATTTATTCAGTTTTTATAAGTCAATTAACTAGAACGAGAGCTAGGCTAAGACTGACTCGTTATCGTATTAATTTCCTCAAAAACGGCAAGATTCACAAAAAAAACCTTTCGTAACAGTTCAGTTCTAAAAGGCCTCCTGCTATCCGCAACGTCACAGAAATAATTCTAATAACTCCAATTCCATCTTCAACATTTTCTGTGCCCTTTACGTCGTACTTTCAATTTTAAATTTAAAAGTAATTGCGGCTTCAGTAGCGCAAGCGCCTTCGTAACAAAACGGCTGACATTCAATTGATTTTACGTTGGATCAAAGAAAAATGGCCTTATTTCTGAATTATTTGCTGGAATACCTCCAAATATAAGCAGAGCATTCAGATATAGGAATTTATACAGGGTGTTTCACATAATTTTACGAGGCCTGCGTCTGTAAGATGCAATCAATAATACATATTCCGATACGAACTCGATTACAAATTTTGAAAAATTGGATAATCTTCTCTAGTTTGTTCACCCTTTCAAAAATTACGTTTTTAGTTAGTTAATGATTAAGATAGATAAACTACAATCATATTCATGCCGTCTCTTGATAGAACAAATTATAATTGTTTCTGAAAAACTGCAGTTTATGACTATTAATGAAACAGTGGTTAGTTTGACAACTACTGTCATGGGTTTCCAAAAATTAAATAATTACATGTGTATTTTTTGTATCCAGTGTTCTGGACTTTTGTATATTTAGGTGCGTACATTAGGCGCAAGCCTCGTAAAGTGATGTGAAACACCCGATATTTCGAATACATTAGTTAAATCTGATAAATTTGACTTGACAGTTTTTGGATTTAAATGTGGTCTGATCGATCAAATAATAAAACTGATTCGACGTCTGTATTGGTAAAAGTCTTTATATATATATATAAATGGATCATAAAAAATTATAATAGGTGAGATAGATAACGATGTAAATTATAAAATACTTAACATAATACAAAGAGAGAGAGAGAGAGGTTCAGCTAGTATAAAATTATGTTTAATATGTAAAACTGAAAGATTTATATAATATAAACGCAGAAATAAAAGACGAAGGCAATCATACAACTGTAAAATTTGTAATGCCGTTTGTGATATTTTCAGATTAATTAGTCCACTTTGTGGACGACTTTTTATACGGGTTTTTGTTACGTGTGGCAAATTCAGTGGTCGGAGATTCATTTTTGTGCTGAAGTGGCCCAACAAAAAAAAAGCGAATTTTAAGTGTTTTTAAAAGGGGAATTCGCTTCGCTCACGAATTTGTTTGGCTGAAATCGTATTGTGTGCCGAAGTGGCCCAATAGAGAAACAGAGCAAAAAGCAAACTTTAACTTTCAAAACGGTAAAATCTTTGAAAAATGTTGATTTTAAAATATACCTTATAAACAAGACAAAATGCTTAAAGAAACAAAGTTGTCTGAAGGGCCCTTCTTAGTAGTAATAACAAGTAATTTTTTTACATTGTTATTTTGTACCATATGTGCCGTTATAAACATTTATTTAATTAAATTGCATTTACAAGTCACTGGTTATTATTTAAAATTTTGTCTAACGAGACTTTAAAACGAGGTATAATAAATTGTTTACTGCAACACCAGTTTCATTTCTCACCCATCGCCAAACAGCGACGTGACGTAATACTCAATATACATTTGTCTTTCATCTGAATTTATCACAAGCTGCAATCCTAAAAGACCAGTTTCGCCGGAGAAAATCGCCACTTTGTTTGCGTAATTCATGACTTTTAAAATTTGGCGAATGTTGTGGAAAGCGTACTTCCAAGAGGATTTTTGTTGGCATTGGAAAATCGTAATAGAATCTGACTGGCGGGGAATGTTGACTTTGGATTCGCCCTAGAAGCCCAAATTACCGGATTTTCCCCGGAAATTAGCAACTCACGGCAATCCCGGTTGTACTTAATGTAAAATGGGGCGGATCTGGACTTATTGAAATTGTGATTTCATCAGCTGCATTATCCAACCTTTGTAAAACTTCGGCTAACATATTTGCACTAAAAACTACTTTGTTCAAGTTGCATTCTTCGGCGAGGCTGAAATCGTGGGAGTCGTCTGCGTTTAATGTTTTGATTTCACAATCAACAGTTATATTTTCTTCACTGTGTTTGATACTAAAAACACACATTGCGTGATACACCCTAATCTCAAAAATAATTACATCAGACACAATGGTGCGCCTTCGTTCTTATACGACAATTTTATGCTGGGATTCCCCTCATCTCCAAAAATATTTAAACATTCAGTGAACACTTTCATGCTGATTTTAAATGAGACGTCCGTATTGTCAGCAATTCTGTAGTAGCTAAACATATTACGCGGCACGTATGCCGAAATTTCCACACTTTTCATCTCTTCCAGAGTGAATTTTAGCCCCTCTTCGGTGGGGCGCAAAATGGCATACTAGAAATTAAAATCAATGACTTGATACAAAATTGCACCGGAAACTAACGTCCTTAAAGGATATGGCACGCAGGACATTGTGTATTGTCCGAAAGTCACTTATTTCGGCTGAAAACAACATATCAATAAATTTAAATGTTAGAGGTTATGTACACATTTTTTGACATGGTTACTAACGAAAAAACCCTATACAATTTTTAAATTGGGGTAATAAAAAAGGTAATGCAACGAAGTAACACAAAAAATATATTCGAAAACATTTACCTTTCGTTACAATTCTTCATTGTTTGTGATTGTGTTAAAAAAAGAATATTTTTTTCTAGGGACAAACAAAAAATCCCCAGTTTTTTGAATTCACTAAATGCAATTATTTAACATTGCTCCCCACAGCCTCCGAAATACTCATATACCCATCATCGGCCAATAATTGCGCCAATTCCCGTTTAATTTTGGCCACAACTGGGGGGCCTTCATACACCAAACTTGTGTACAGTTGCACAACGCTAGCACCAGCTGTAATTTTTTCGTAGGCGTCTCGACCCGTAAAAACACCTCCAACGCCTGCAAAAAAATCAATGTTATGTAATTTTAACAAAACAAAAGTCGGACCTATAATTGGTATTTCCCCACGTGTCAGTTTATACATTTCTGCTATTAATTTTGTTGAGGAGTCTTTCAAAGGCTTCCCACTCAACCCCCCTGTTTCAGTTCTATTGTCATTATGCAGAAATTGTGGTCTTTCGATTGTGGTATTGCAAATTATAAGACCATCAATTTTAGTTTCTTTTTGTCTCACCACATTTGCAATGTCTTTGAGCTCACTGTATGACAAGTCTGGGGCTAGTTTTAGTAACAGTGGGGGTCTGGAACCATCAGGAAGACTATCGCGCGTGTCTTTGGCACTTTTTAAGAGGCTTTTTAAAACGTTTTTGTCTTGCATTGTTCTCAAACCGGGAGTATTAGGACTACTGACATTAATAACAAGATAGTCAGCAACTGGTCCTAATTTTTTAATACCAATAACATAATCGTTGATAGCGTCAGTTGAAGTCTTGTTTTTGCCTAAATTAACCCCAATTATACTATCACATTTTTTTGCCTGTCTTAAATTAACAAGTCTTTGTAAAACAGTCTGATGGCCGTCACTGTTAAACCCGTATCTGTTTATAACAGCAAAGTCTTCAGACAGGCGAAAAAGTCGAGGTTTATCATTGCCTGATTGAGGTTCTGGTGTCACAGAACCAACTTCAATAAAACCAAAACCAATGTCTCTTAAACCCATTACTGCTTCAGCATGTTTGTCAAAACCAGCCGCTATACCAATTGGGTTTTTAAATTCCTTACCAAAAAGAGTAATTTTCTGTAATTGTTTGTGTAGTAACATTTCAAATTAAAAAGTGGTTTACCAAAGAATCAGGATCAATGTAACTGGTTTTTGGAACTAGGCGGTATTTACTGACCAAAATTCCAAGTCTGTGGGCTTGCTCAGGCTCTAGCAAGTGAACTAAAGGCATTACAACGTTTCTGTAAAATTTTTCATTGTTTTTATACAGACTTATAGCCACATAGGCCCCTATTCCACTCGCAGTGACAATATACAAGGATCGGAGTTTCCTCTAGAAATTTCTGATAGAATAACTCTTGGAAAACGTAATTATCACCTTTAGACTCAAGCTCTTCATTTTTTGAGAAAAGTGAGTAAGTTTTCAAAAAATAAACAAAAACCTAACCCCACTTTAGAATTGTCAATTTGACATGTGATTAGCAGCGTCGCCAACACATCAGATTTTGAAATCCCTTTAAAGAACCAGGATATTTCATTTTAAGAAAAAAAAACCTCTTTTGAAGATTAGAAAATACAGGTTTCTGTATAAAATGTGTATTTTTATATGATTAGGCATTTAACTGATATATGTAACACTTCTAAACCAAAAAATTGTTATTAAAAAAACATAAATCTTTCAGGTTGGCAAAACTGGTGATAAGTAAATAATTCTTCATTTGCAAGTGGCGGGTTTTCAGTATGGAGCCCCAAAAGTCGTCAAAATTAACATTGAGTGGTAGTTCCATGGGTGATAAAGCCATGAATAACTTAATGCAAAAACTGAAACAATTACAAGAGAGTGCCTCTCCGACTAAATCAACCATTAGCAAGAAAACCCCATCACGTAAGCGAAAACCAACTCGTGACGACAAAAACTCAAAAATTACCTCATGGCTAAACAAGGAAAATAGGGGCACTACACAGGCGAGGAATAATCAGCAAGTAGTGAGGTTAAAACAACTTGATATTACGGTAAACAAGAGCTCTAAGGCTTCGAGTAAGAGTCTTAAAAGGACTTCTTCGTTTGAAAAGTACGGTATTTTGCTACCCTCGTTTGAGACAATAGTGGCAGAGCAGAAAAAACTTGATGAGTACAAAAACAGTGTCCAACAATTGGTTGATGTGTTTGATGATAACATTCTTGTCCAGGATTTAGCCACCGACTGTTTAAACGAAGAAAGGTACGTGGGGGAGCTTCTGGACTGTAAACACCTGTCTTTCAAGGAATTAGAGAAAGCGTTTCGACGACACAAAGACACTTTGGAGGATATTATGCAAGGGAGGAAGTATTCAGATAGACATAGGGCGTTTCACCAGCCTTGCAGCAGTACAGTCTCTTTAGCCAAAAATTTATATTGCAGTAATAGTTTGGTAGTTTTCACTCAGGAGCAAAAAGAAGTCTTGCTCGATCTAATGAGATCTGAGTTTGATCCAGATGATACAAAGTCCAATTATTTCTTCAAAGTGTTGCTACCTGAAATTTGTTTGCTAATCTTCATGGAAGTGTACCAAATGGGCAAGAGGAAGGCCAACGAGTATTTGAATAAGAGGCCATTGGACTTTTAAGTGTGTTGTTCGTGTTGTTACTTTATTACTGATAACTAAACTATGTTTGTGACACTTGTTTTTTTGTTATTATACTATTTTTCTATTTTGTGTTTACTATGAAGATTTGTTTGTGGCAACTTTTTATACAATACTTTTGCTATCACTGTTGTTTTTAAGTGACAAATTGGTGTGGTTCATCTGTGGAGGGAAAAATAACTGGAGGGAAGGTGCCCTATACCCGCAATGTTAAATTCTTAGTCGTGCTACAAAAATTTTTTACGAACTGTTCTGAATTTCCCGCTTAATGAGTAATCAGTGCGCAAGTCAAAAATTGTTTTTCAAATCAGCTGATACCATAAGCGTCTCATTTGTGTTTCAGTGTTTTTCACGCTGACTTTTGATTTTTGTCTTTATTAAATTTGTTTTACACAGTTTTTTTTTTTTTTTAATAATCTGTCTATATAGTTTCAAGTATTAGTGTTAATGTTAGTTGGTGGAGTATTTTGTAAACTCAATATAAAAAAACATTGACTACACCACTGCATCCAAATTTGTAGTGAGGGAAAAAACTTGAGCGCGGACTTTGAAAAGGATCATAAAAGGTGTTATTGTCGAATCAACAAGAAATTACTCCCTAGAATTTTGGGATATTCGTGAACAGGTTGCCATAAATTTGGTTAGGTTGGTTTCTGGTGACAAACAAAAGATATCGTAACTAGTGTCAAAACTTAGGTTAAGTCACCTGTCAGCTTGTATGTAAAATTAAATTGTTAATTGACAGCAGGTTGACAGAAAACATCAACCGTCAACAACAAAGGGTAACCAAACCTAGGCATTCAAAATTTCTTCTGAAAATTCTAGTTACCATCAACATAAAAAACGTAATTTTCCTAAAAGTTCAAATCCTAGGTGGTTATTTCTTGTTGACAAATCTGTAGTGCAGAGACCACGGTTTCAGTTCTAGGGCTCAATAGAAGAAATAGTATAAAATTACGTGTTACAACCTCTCATTGTGATACTAGTGAATTGTAGATATATAACATTTATTTTTTAATATACTGTAATGAATGTCTGTTGGCAACAGAATTAAAAAGATTTTATTTTATTTTTCAGCGGTTTGCAACACTGCAACCAGAAATGGCTAATTGACAGATAATTAACGTGTCGTCACAGATTATCTGTTTTAAACAGGTAATCTGTGGTGTCGTTATGCAAATATTGCCAACCAGTATTTGGATTATAAATCGCTGTTCTAAAATATACCATCCCGATGAATATATCATATTTCAGCGCAAACTCCTTTTTTAAAAACTGATTTGAAATTTCGAAATTTGAAGTTTTGGATTGGACTGTCATGCGCAGCTGTCAATGTCAGGCTGTCTGGTTACCGGAACCACAACTACCATTTAAAAATTAAATTCAGTATTGCCAACAAGCTTAGTCATTTTGGATTATGCAGTTGTTTTTCCTAATTTGAAAAAATGCTCGGTTCAAGCGATGCTATCTTGCGTAAATTTATAGCGCGTATGATTCACATGACGAGTTTTTCCGTAAAGTTCTTGGAAAATCGAAAGTAAAGTTAAATGGTTAAAACCAATTATTGTTTAGCTTTTGAAACTTTAGGCCCTTGGTCTAAGAAAACTTTTGATTTCCTCAATATAATTGGCAAAAAGCTGATATCTGTTTCTGGCGAAAAAAAAAAGCTAAACAATACCTGTTTGAGAAGATTTCCCTTGCAATTCAACGTGGAAATGCTGCTAGCATTCGGGGCACCTTCTCAGAGTCCGCCTTAATAGCCGAAATTTTTGTTTTGTAACTTTTACTTATTTTTACATGTCTATTTTATTTATTAAATTAATATCTGTTAATTATTGTCTTATTGTTTTATTGTCTACAAAAATTTACAACCGACGTAACCGTAAAGCTGGTCACATGAAGAAAAAAATGACAAAACCAGTTTAAAAAATGCAATATACACTTGATCCAATTAAGACTAGACTATTATTTACAATAACGGTTTGTACAAGTAAAAATTGTAAACTTATCCTTTGATTGATTTAGAAGGCAGACAAAAATAAATAAATAAATAACTGTAGGTCGGCAAATACAGACGATTCAATTTAAAACAAAGGAACATAATCTCAACATTTACTTAACCTTCAACAGTTTTTTCGTCATTTCTACTACGTCTTTGGGAACCGGAATCGCGGCCATTTCTAAACTTTTCGTATATGGCATGGGCGTGTCAACGCCTGTCAGTCTGATCGCTGGTTGATCTAAATGGAAAAAGGCCTCACTTTCCATAATTCTTGCTAAAATCTCTGCCCCAATCCCAGCCGAAGGCCACCCTTGTTCCACCGTAATTAAATGATTCGTTTTAGCAACTGAGGCAGTTATCGTATTGATGTCAAGAGGGCGCAACGATCGTAAATTAATCACTTCTGCTTCTATTCCTTTCGATGAAAGTTCATTTGCGGCTTGAAGTGACGTTTCAACCGCCCTAGAGTGCGCCACTATCGTTATATGTTTCCCTATAATACTCAAAATCAAGTTGACGTTTTACACACAGGTGACTAGACTTACCTGGTCGTTCAATTTTCGCTTTGCCTATAGGAAGGACGAAATCGTTCGAGAGGGCCTGATCTGACATGGGGTATTGTACCCCGTATAAAATTTCGTTTTCGAGGAAAACAACGGGGTCAGGGTCTCGAATCGCGGCTTTGAGGAGCCCCTTGCAGTCTTCGGAATTATACGGGGAGATGACTTTCAGGCCGGGACAGTGGGCATACCAGGCGCCGTAGCATTGGGAATGTTGGGCGGCTACGCCGGAGGCAGCCCCATTGGGGCCCCGAAAAACTATAGGAACGTTGACGCGGCCTGCGGACATGTAAAAGGTCTTTCCTGCCGAGTTTATGATCTGGTCGATGGCTTGCATGGCGAAATTGAAAGTCATGTACTCGCAGACGGGGCGCAGACCGGCCATGGCAGCCCCAACGGCGATTCCTGAACACAACATTACCTAAATTGATGAATTACATTTGATTAACAACAACCTGTGAACCCCATTTCTGTGATTGGCGTATCGATGACTCTTTTATCCCCGTATTTCTTCCACAGCCCCCTTGTGACCTTATACGCGCCGTCGTATTGAGCCACTTCTTCGCCAATGACAAACACCCTGTCATCCCGAGTCATTTCCTCGTCTAGGGCTGAATTTAGGGCGTCTCTGACTGTCATTTGTTTGGCAGCGACGATTTTTGACACTGAGAATTGTCTTCGGTTGAGTGCTTTTCCGGCCAAATTTAGGAGACTGGTGGCTTTGATCGGTGCCATTTCTTTAAGGGTTGAATTTTTAATATAAGAATGAAAATTTAAGATTGTTTGACTTACCTGATTTGACAGTCAAGGTGATTTAAGGTCGTGGAGGAGAATGTGAGTGCCGAATAAACGTCAGTGTTGATTGTTAGGTTATTATCTCTTGAACATTCGTTATACGTAATCACACATGTGACGCTATCTTAGAGACATGCTCCTAGCGAGAGATCAAATCTGAGATTTGTGAAAAAATTCGGATTTTTGAAGGTTAAGTTTGACAGGTTTCTCAGTTTTTCATAACTAAGGTTGCGGCCGGCAGGGGGCAGTGTACGATTTTGTTCTATGCAACCAGTTATACATTGAATTCACAATTAATAAACTCCACAACCAACAAAATTAATTGTACAGATTTGAACGTTTTTAAAGCACTAGTAGAATACCCAATAACTTATACGATTTTTTTATTCTTGCGTGTCTATGTTAGAATTACCCTTTAGTGTAATAAATATCTACTACATAACATAAAATTACACGAAACACATTCTTTTACTGTTTTTTTGCCAACTATTTTGCTCTTTTTTATGTAGGTGTTAAAATATGTTACAAATTTTTTGTTCGTTATATATTTTTTGTTTCTGTTTGTCTGTTATATTGTTAATTGTTTTTATTATTAATTTTACGAAAATTGCAATTAAAAATTTTAAAGTTAAAATATTGCATCTGAATAATTTTCTGAAATTCTGTAAAATACTTCAATAATTGTACTAATGATCAAAATGTAGTTTATGCTGGGAACAGATTATCGTAATTTTTTTGTTCCAAAAACTGCGTAAATATTAATACATTACAAAATAATAACAAGCAATAAAATTATAAATATTTTTGAATTTTTAACGGTGTTCTGAAAAGTATTACTAATACTTATTTTATTTTATTTTTATGGAGGTTCTTAACGAGTTTTTTTATGGCATATTTTTATATATTTTTTATTAGGTTTGACTAGATTTTATATTATTATTATTATAGGTATTATAGGTTAGTTTTAAATTTAATCTTTAATCTATTAGATGAAAATGCTCTTGCTGACTTATTATCATATCTTTTTTTTTCTATTTTTAACAATTATTTGGACATTAATAAAAATGTGTATTTTATATATTTCCACACATTTATTTTTACACTTTTTATTACTTATACAAGGTGTATATACTGCATTTCAAAATAACTGACATCTCGGTAGGTCATGGAAATTCAGATTTAAGGTGGCAGCATTTGTACTTTGAGAGTTCTAGATTGTTCATTTTTGTACGATTGCACCCACTGAGGTTGAAAATACGTCAATTTCAAAATTTGTGATAATTGTCCGTTTTAACAGATTTTGTGCTTTTTCTCTCCTATAGTACCTTCTGTTCCACGTTTATTCCTTTTAGAAAACCTGATAAATTTTTGTAGATATTTTTTTTACTAAGCGAAGTTTTGAGATCAACAATGTCAGGACAGTCTTTATCTCATCTCACTCAAAGAGAACGAGAAGCAATTTGCAGTTGTTACAATGAATTTTTCAAAGATTTCAATAATTCCAATAAAAAGAAATAATGTTTGAAAGCTTATTTAAAAAAATGTAACTTTTTATATTCCACTGCTAGTTTTTTGCTTATCTTGCTTCTCTTCATTAGGGATATCACATTCATTTAGTAAATAAATGCCCAACTGTCGCACTCTCCTTTCCACACATTTTCCACCTCTCTTCGGGTTCCATTCAAAACTTACACTCTCTCAATTTCCACATCCTGTACTGTTCTGTGTGCAATTTTGCCATTATTCTCTTCTATTTCACATCCTCGTTTTACACATATCTCAGGACATTCTTCTCTTTATATGCACTTCTACTTCCTTGCAGTACCTTACATATTGTTCTTCCTTTCGATTTTTCCCCAAATTTCACCGTTTCAATTCTCAACTTTCCCCTTTTGTACTTATGTTATTTTTTCAGACAGAATTCAACAGAAATGTCATTTTTTTGATGTATCGCGATCTAAAGAATCTTCACATTAGTAAATTTTTTGGAAGTAAAATTAAAGTCTGGTTTACAGTCTCAACGCCTACGACCGAGATGACAATAATTTTGAAATGTACTATACATACATTCTCACAGACAATTTGGCTTTTGTAATATTTTATAAATTGAGTTTATTAAAATTAAATCAAATTAGTTGTTGATATGTCATTATCAAATTTGACAGTATTGTCAATTTCACTTTCGTTTCTTAAATTTAAACAACGAAAAAGCTTATATGATCTTGATATACACGGTGATTTAAAAATCTTGGACGAGATAACAGCTCTTCAAAGGTTAGATCATGTTGACTGTCATGTCAAAAAAGTATTAATATATTTTTTTCGTAACTCGCACCGTTTCCTAGAAAAAATACAACTGTAAACTCGCTATCACACTGTTTCTGATTTTTTACTTTACTTATTTTAGGTACATTTTAACTAACTTTTTTTCAATACAGGGTGAGTCATTTATAGTAAAGACCCTAACCGATTTTCAGATGCAACCCAAAATACATTCTCACAGATAACTTGGATTTTGTTGCGTTTGCTAAAAGATGCTCTATGATATGCACGCACAGAGAAATTTATGTTTTTCTCAATAACCGTGTGAATTATGAAAAAGTTTATTAAGACTCTTTTGTACTGTATGGCATGATCTGACACCCTGTAAAATTTTGCCCGTTATTTTAAACCATTCAGTATATTTTAAGATAGGAAAGCAGATTTTATTAAAGGTTTCTATTTTGTTCATTTTATTCTTTGTTCTGAAATTGTTTTTTTTTTTTTTGATAGGTGTTTATGTTAATAATGTGTAATAAAACCACTAGTTAGCAATAACATAATTTTTGATTCGATAAAATGAATTTGCATATAAATCTGCTTAACGATTATGTAATTCCGACTCTTCATGTAAACAACTACAATGTCACATCGATATAAAATTCTCCAACATTGTTTTTCTTGTAAATCGCTAAAATCAATTAAGTATCAACTTTCACATCATTTCGGAATATTATGCAAATGTAGCATGACATTGACACGCTTGCGATACTCAAGTATCAATAACCCATTTGCTGGATGGATCGGAGATCTGTAATGGATTGGCACCCTTTTTGCTCTTTTTGTGCGTTTTCCGATGACGCATGATAACCATAAAATCCCCGAGTCCTTCACACAAATACATCCTTGGTTCTAGAGCTTTTATTTAAAATTATATCCTTACATTTTATAGAAACCTATACCTCCAAAAACATGTTGACTCTAAGCAATGTACTTTTCTTTCTGCCATCGTTGCAAGCTAAAAACACCAAAAATTCCGAACAAAAGAACCTAAACTAAACACGACCATGCAATATTGTGACAGTTACTTAATTAATCTAACACGAATACAGCAAGTCAGGTCACCTACTAGACACTTTACAGGACAATATCAAAATATTCGTTCCGGCTCTGTCAATATAAACGATATTTATATTATCACTGATATCACAATGCTCCCTTGACTTTACTAGAGTACGGTTCTGGAGCTAACGATGAAACAAAGCACAAAAACGGATTTTTGAGTGACGGTTATTGTCTTGCGACCTAATCAAAAATTTTCCAAAATCACTCACTTTGGCAAAGTTATTGTCCGTGAGTCTCTATTGATTGTCTCTTCGTTAGCTCCGTTGCAACATTAAGTCTCTAATAAGATATTATATTTTTAAAATCTGTTAAAATCAAATTGTGAACATCGACAAACTTCTGGAAACGTTAACATGATTCTTACATTTAACATTAAAATATAATTTATGACTATTGTACTTAGGTGTAAACTGATATTGTTCTAACGGGGCAGTTTAGATCTATACAATGTTAATAAGCGTTTCTTGGGTCAATTCTAGCACAAATGCTGTGTGTTTAGCTTTTCGTTATAGTTCGGCAGCAGTGACACCCTATTTACACGATTATTTGTCAAACAATTAGGTCTAAACTAATCTAAACACCAAACCAACAGAAACCTCGCCTAGGAATTTTGGAAAAATAGATTCATGTGTCTCTAGTTAAGCGTACTGAAATCGAATAACGAAATAAGACACGCTGTAGGTGATGCTTACAATTAGATAAACCAAGTGTTTTCCTAATCAGGTGCCTCCAAAAATCTATCAATTAAAGCTCATAGTTACCATAAGCTGTCAATAAGTTGAATAATTTCTGCCATATTTGTTCCACAAGTTACAAAATATTGATAAAATACGATTTTCTGTCGTGATCCTTCTATTTCTTAAGATTAACACCGAATTCGTCAGGACACAATTACAAGACTCAGTCCATAAAAATTCTCAATTTTTGAGACAAAGACTTTCGTCGTTTGAAACTTGAACCAGACCACCAGGTGGTGTCCATTTCCAGGACTTAAACACCTGTATTGTTGTAAATGTAGGAAACTGCGTTGTCTTGAAGCGGCAGTTTCCTAGTCGAGGAGTTGTTGTTGTAGAAATGGGAGGATTTCCTCATACTCGTCGAAGACGACATCATGGCGACCGTCTCGTAGTACCTCAACCTCCCGCAGCACCTCCTACTCTTGATAATCGCCACAAACCCTTTTCTGTACTTCTTGTTGAAGAATGCATACAAAATGGGGTTGATGCAGGAGTTGGACGCGCCCAGCCACTGGGCTATGGGAGTGGCAATGGGGAGGATCTCCTCCTCCCAGGTCTCTATTTGCCCCCCGAATTTAATCCGGGCGAAAATCACATACAAGGGCAACCAAGACAAAATGAAGAGAATTACAACGGCGACGAGCATTTTGACGACCTTCACTTTGGATTTCTGTTGCATGCGTTCCATTTGGGCGTCTTTGGTGTCAGTGGGGATGTTGCGACGCCAGACTTTGATCCAGATCAGGACGTAGCACATGGTTATGAGGATCATGGGGAGGATGTAGCAGAAAACCATATTGGCGATGAGGAAATAGAGGGCGCCGTCCATGTTTGCAGGCCAGACTTCGATGCACAGTTGGACGTCGGGGGCGTCGTTGAAGACGGCCACCAAGTCGAAGAAGATTGCCCAAGGAATGGTCGTTGTCAATGCGATGAACCAGATGATGACGATCATGAGGCGGGCACGTTTTTTCGTTATTTGGCATTTGAGAGGCCACCAAATTGCAAGAAATCTGAAACAAATCCGAATAAAAGATTTTAATCATTTTATTGCAAAGAATAATGTCACTAATAAATCATACAGGATGCGCCAGAACTCGCGCCCCA